GCCTAACTAGTAAGCCTAGCCTCAGACTAGGCCTAAACCAAGCCTAAGCCCAAGTTGTCGCCAAGCTCAAGCTTAAGCCTAAGCCGACAAAAAAATGGGATGAAATGAAATCAAAAATGAAATTGACACTATAAATAAATAAATTGCAAGCCTGGCAAAAGCCATCTAGGATCTCCTACAATTTATAGCCGTTCTGCATCAAAAATGGCCTTGGCTTATCGGAGTACACAATGTGACTAATTCCGCCGAATGACGGCCTATGATCTGCCCACCGCAAAAAGTATCGGCCTGGATTGGCCGAACTGGTAGACCGAAGAGCGCTGTCAAGCTAGATAGAGATAGAGAGCGACAGATAGATAGAGAGAGAGCGAGAGAAAGAGAGAGAGCATGGAGAGAGAGAGAGAGTGAGAAAGAAGCTAGTGAGATGCCACCATTCAAAGGCGTGCTTGCAGAGGCAATTTGAGCACATAATTAGTCAGAGAAAGGATAAAATAGAGAGAGAGCGATAGAGAGAGAGGGAGAGAGACAACATAAAAGGCTAGAGAATTAGAGAAAACGCAAAAAAACTGTACCCGGGGGGTGTAAGAACTTAGCGTTCCAACATGAGGTAGAGAGAGAGATAGAGAGCGAGAGAGAGAGAGAGAGAGAGAGAGAGAGAGAGAGCGAGAGTTGGTTAGAATTGTGAGCAGACATCTTTGGCGGATCTCTGTGGGATGAATGATTCGGCGAGTCGGAGTGAGCTTTTTCTCGCTGCCCAATTTTGACGTCACAGTATCAGTCAGACGCGCTGGATCGCTCATCGAGATCGGCTCTATCAAAATAACAAACATGGATGAGCGAGGGGGTCAAGTTGGTAATAACAAAGTATGGGGGAGAGTTTGATGGATAGGTATCTTTGCAAATTAACTAGCTTCTCCTGAGTGCCACACTACCTTTAAAGGGACGGACACGAAGGGCACGAGGAACGTTGTGTAATCAAGAAAAAACCCCAGGTTAGGTAGAATTAGAGAGAGAGAGAGAGAGAGGGAGAGAGAGAGGCAGGAAGAGAGATACCACCAAATCCAAAAACTGCGCGGGCCCGAAATTGCCAGGTTCCCAGCCGGGAGCTTTGACAAAAGCGGCATGCTGGGGGGCAATCCGGCGTGAAAAAGACGGGACAATCCCGAACCGCCCGGAATCAACGACCAATATACCGGATTGTTGGCACCGGAATGGTCGACCGTGAAGAAAAAGAATGATGCAAAAGTTCCAGAATTGGATTAGGCTTAGGCTTAGGCTTAGGCTTTGGCTTTGGCTTAGGCTTGGCGTAGCCTTGGCTTAGGCATAGGAATAGGCTTGGGCTTAGGCTTAAGATCAGGCTTGGGCTTAGGCTTGGCTTAGCTTGGGATTGAGGTCTTGGCTTAGGCGTAGATTTAGACTAAAGCTTCGGTTCAGTCTTCGAAAAACCTGTAAACATTTCCCTAGCCTTTCAATCAAAGCCACCGCACGCAAAATGAAGCAAAACGGCTCCAAAGTCCAAAGCGCGCCTCGATAACCCCCTGAAATCCCAGGAAGAGACCATCAGGTTCCACGAGTTCCCCCCGATACTTCCCCGCTCTCTTTCTAAACCTTTAGCGCACCAGAAAAAGCTGCAAACACCCAGCGGGGTGTAAAGTTCCGTGGGCGTCGTTATGGAGAACTGTAAACACGCAGAAGAGGGAGGGGGAGGAGGAGGAGGAGGAGGAGGAGGAAGAGGAGATGGATCACCACCAGCGGAATCCAATCGCCGCCCCGCAGGCGTTTTGGTGACAACGGAGGGGACGGTGGGGGTGCCAACGGGGAAACCAGATTCAAGCGGATCAGCCAGGGAATGGGGGAAAGCCATTGTGGTGGGAGAGAGAGAGCGCGAGAGAGACAGAGAGGGAGAGAGATCGAGAGAGATAGAGAGGATAGTAGCATTTTGAAAATTTTACGGTCTCAAAGAATGCACCTGGACGAACAACAGTCAAACAGACAGTCAGATACGCATCCGCTGACTAACCATCCAAAGCCGAATCAAGCTGTCTACAGCTTGATCTCCCTCCCCCTCCTCCTCCTCTTCCTCCTTCTCCTCCCTTCCGACTGCCACAAAAAACTTGGAACCGACAACCGCATCGCTGCCCCCCCCCCCAGCGGCTGCCAAAATGTTATTCCAGCGTGTCGCCATGTGATACGAGACGCTAAAGGCATCGTCGTACAAACTAAATTGAAACCAGTCCCCAACAATCATTGCTCTTGCCCGGCAATACGCAAATTTGCATAAAAACAAACAAACTAATTCCGGCGTGAAAAATCCAGAAAAGACCGTCTTGTTTCACCTGCCAAACCGTCAACCGGTTTGTGGCCCCAACCATCTGGATCAATATGGTAATTTTTATGCAAATTTTTAGGCAATCGGTTCAGGCAAGCTAGCATGGATTCTTGGGGGAATTGGGGAGGGGAAGGTTGGAAAGATTCCTTTGAGGAATTGGGAAAGGACAAGCTAACAGAGATTCTTTTGGAACCAATGGCCCAATTTTTCCAGCCCTCCTCCAAGCGCTCCCGCTCACGTTCGCGCTCGCGCTCCCGTTCTCGCTCTCGCTCCCGCTCCAGGCGTGATGACGTCGAGAGCCAGAAGCGTTCCACAAGGTCATCGTCGGTATGTTTTTGTAACTCGATTACATTGCCGCACTTTAGACACGCCGCTCCAAGACCCGAAGGCCTTCCCGTTCCGCGTCGAGGGCTTCGAAGCGCCGCGCCCACGACCCGTCCGGCTTCTCCGACGAGCGGAACACGCCCATCCAAATGATCGTCTTCTGCGGACTCGCCGTCATCTGTTGCATGGCCTTTCGTAGGTTTTTACGGGGGATTTTTGGGTGTCAGGTCGAACTCCTTGGACGCGTTTACCTCTGCAGATCTTCACTTTCGAGCAAACTGCGCTTGACAAGCCGAAAAAATCTGGCCATAAAACTTTGAACTTCTTGCTGACGTCGGTTGTTGCTTAGGAGTTAATTTGACGAGGCGAAGACGAGAAGTTGAACTTCTTGACGACGTTTGTCGCCAAAGGCAGGGCATAGCAAGAAGCCCCGGGTCTGGTTTTGAAAATTGAACCCCTTGTTGACGTCAGGGTGGCCCTTTACCGAATCGATTAAACCCGACTTCTAAGAATTAGAATTTCTCAGCTGAACGTCCTGAAGACGTCGTCTGCTTTCCCCAATGAGTCTCTGCTACCTATCCATTTTAGTGATGGTGCTGCTCCTCGGCTTCTACGTCTGGTTCCACCCCGCCGAGGAGGCTGGAAAGTAGGGCTTTTCAAGAGCCTTGGAAGCATCTACTGGTTAGCCCAAAAATTTTTTGCAGTCCCTGGGGCAACAAGGACAACGAGCAGTTGCTGAAGTCCGAGTTCGGCCTCACCCTCAACGACATCGGCAAGGGCAGCTCGGCGCCGAGATTGATACCGTAGCCCTCGCCGGTGCTTACCGTAATTCGGACACGATTTAGCACGGACACCTGGCAGATCCCCACCGACGAATACCGCCCGGAGCACTATGAGCTGGATTTGCATGTAGGACTTCTCTCCGTTTCCTCAATGATCTCTGCTAGGTCTACCTGCCCGGCCATGGGACGCCGATCCCCAAGGAGAAGGAGTTCGACTTCTATGGGGTGGTGAAGATTACGGTATGAGGGGATTATGGTAGACGAGGTTGAATTGGGGTTGCAGATGGTCGTCGACGTCGAGCAGCGGAAAATCGAGCTCCACGCGAAGGCCATGGATCTGATGGTGGTCACGCTGATCGAGGGGGGCAGTGGGAAGGTGAGCTCTCTCTCGCTCTCTCTCTCTCTCTCTCTCTCTCTCTCTCTCTATCTCTCCCTCTTGCAGCGTCGTCGCCTCAACATCGACTTTGACGAAACCCTGGAACGCGCGGCCTTCTCTGACGGCAACAAGATTCCGCCAGGCACCCATACACTCCAGGTACGTACTTTTTTCAAATCCCACCCCATCCCACATCCTTTAGATTGCCTACCGTACCATCCTGGGTCGCTCTATGCATGGCCTCTACCGCTCGATGTACTTTGACAAGAACGGCAACAAGCGCTACATCGCCACCACCCACTTTGAGGCGACGAACGCGCGCAAGATGGTCCCCTGTTTTGACGAGCCGAGGTTTAAGGTGAGATGCGCAACCGCAGGCTAGCCGGACTTGACTGTTAGCGGGGACGTCGTAGCCAATTTTTAGGAGGTTACGGTAGCGTCAAAAATTCCGATTTTCCAGGCGACCTGGCGCATATCGGTTCGGCACCCTCTCGGCACGGTCGCCACCTCGAATGTCCCCATCGATGGGAAGCCAACGGGGTGAGCGCTATTAAATGCCCTCTACCGTACCCCTTCAAATCGTTCAGCATCTCGCACGGAAACCTGAACTGGCAGCAGACGGTGTTCGGGGTGACGCCGAAAATGTCCACCTACCTTCTCGCGCTCGTCATTCACGACTTTGGCTTCAAATCGAGGATGTACAAGAATGTGAAGGTATCTTTTTCTGTCAAGCTTTCTCTATCCCTCTCTCTCTGTTTCTCTCTCGCTTCGTCTCTCGCTCATTCTCTCTCTATCTCTGGCTTTCTCTTTCTCTCGCTCGCTCACACGCTCTCTCACTCTCGCTCACCCATCTCTGATCCCTCAGGTTGGCATCTACGCTCGAAAGGAGATGATGCCCTACACGGAGTTGGCGCTGAACACGGCCATGATTGCCCTCCCCGAACTCGAGCGCATCTACGGCACCAAGTACGGCTTGAAGAAGCTGGGTATGGATTTACTGCGCGCTTTGAACTCCTCGTACAGATATCTTTGCCATCCCTGACTTTGCCGCCGGCGCCATGGAGAATTGGGGCATGATGACGTTCAGGGAAACGGTGGGTAATTCAATAGTTCGTAGTTTGTAGCGTGTAGTTGTGCGTTTTGGAAGTTAATTGTGTTGAAAAATTGAGTTGTAAAGCAGTCGGTTTAGATGATCTTGTACGACGAGCCGAAGCACAACAAGACGTCCCGCCGAGTCGTCATCGAGAACGTGGTCGCCCACGAGATCGTGCACCAGGTGGGGAGCTTCAGCAAGTCTAAGCTCCCAAGTTTAGGCCTGAGCCTAAGCTTAAACCGAAGCATAGGCTAAGCCTAAGCCTAACCTTACCGCCCCCCCTAAGCCCAGGCCCTACGGGCCCGTCCCTGGGGCCCCCCCCCCCGAAATCGGTCGAGGTCCGAAAATGTTCATAAGGGGGGCCTATCCTTTGTAATTTTTTCCCCAAAAGTTTATTTTTTGTGTACGCCGCGGTTTTCATTAGTGCACCCTTTTTTACTGAACAAAATTTGCGGTTACGGTGGGTATTGGACTGGGAGGAGGGGGGCGCCAAAAATTTTTTAGGGGTGGGTGCCCCAAATCTTTCGGCCCCCGGGTTTAGGCCTACCGCCAAGCCTAACCCATTTTTGTAGTGGTTCGGCGACTTGGTGACCCCGGAATGGTGGGGTGATCTGTGGCTGAACGAGGGATTCGCCCGCTGCTATCCGATGTTTGTCGGCCGCAAGCACGGCCGAAAATACCCGGGATGGGGCCATCGGGTACGGTATCTGGGTCGACAACTAGCCCCGTCCAGGACACCAACTTCATCAAGACGTTCCGCAGCGCGATGGCCTCGGATCAGAAATACCCGCTGAAGCCGGTCGTCGTCGGGGATGCTCATCGCGGTGATCGGGATTATAATGTGGGCAAAGAGCGAGAGAGAGTGCGAGAGAGAGCGAGAGAGAGAGAAATAATTCAAATTTTTTAACAAAAAAATTCTAATTTCAGCGCGAGCCGGCCCGCTACTACGACATCCGCGGCATGTTCAACATGCTGACGTACGAGAAGGCGGCCTACGGCATCTACACGATGTACCGCACGATGGGCGAGGAGCGGATGCGCAACATGCTGCAGGTCCGGCCCACTTTTTCGAGCAGTTCGGCTGGGATTCCGCCTAGTCGCACTGGTCGTACTCGTTGGGCTTGTTGCCTAACGGCTTGGGGTTTGGCTTTGGAGTTTCCTTTGAAAACGGGCAAAAAATGGCAAAAAAGCAGAATCCTTTGAGGATTAACCGGATTCAGAAGTACCTGGCCAAACACAATCACGCCACCGCCTCCTGGACGGACATTTGGGAAATGGACGACCTGAAGGATGACCTCTGGAAACGGGCCGTCGAAGCCAACGAAGATCATCTTCATCACGTACGAGATATCGTCCCTTTCTCGTTTTCTCTCTCTCTCTCTCGTTTTCTCTCTCACCTCCTTATAGCGTGGCTACCCCCGTATCAACGTCGTTCGTGTCCCCGGCGAACCCAACAAGTACGCCATCACCACCGAACGCCACTACCTCTCCGACGACTCCAAGCTGGGCAAGGAGAAAAATGAGTAGACTTCCTGGCAGTGGCCATCTACAGGCTCCATTCCAGCATCTGGCGCATTCCGATCGAGTATCCAGAACAGCCGGAAGGAACCTTCGAATACATTCCGGGCGATGGAAGTCAGGGTTTTAAGGAATTACTAGTTCTCTGTTTCTTTGCCTTCTCCATCCTCAGGTTTGCCTCTTTTTAGGCCCTCTCATCATCGAGTCGAACGAGTTGCCGTTCATCAACCACAAGCAGCTCGTCTTCGCCAGGGTCAACTATGGGGAGTTGTGGTCTGAAGTTCGCGAAAAGATCCACGAGGCGGTATGTTCTCTTGCTTTCTCTTTCTCATCACTCTCTCTATCTCTCTCTCTTTCTCTCTCTCTCTCTCTCTCTCTCTCTGGCTCTCTCGCACGCCGGCATTTCAGAAACTCGACGGCCTCGCCCGCTACTTCATCTACGAAGACGCGTTTGCTCTTGCCCGTGACGGTGTCATCCCCTACGACGTCCCCCTCGCCTTCCTCGACGACATCAACAAGGTTTTTCAAGATCTCCCCCTCATTCTAAAGCTCAATGTAGGAGCCGGTCTCGGCCATCCGGAAATCCCTGCTTGAGGATTTCAATTGGGTGCGCAACCAAGTGATCGCCCACTCATACAACCTTGGCTCCCTGGAGATTCTGGATGTAGCTGAACATTTCCAGTTTCTTGATGTGTAAAATGCTCCAGAATGCCGGCGCTTATTACCAAAGCCTCGCCGCCGAGCCCGAACGATCGCTGAAACTGGCCGGCGCTGACCAGGACGATGACGATCGCAAAACCGAACTCGCCACCTCCGAGGAGGAGGAGCTGCAACACGTCCTCGACGAGTATGGCCGCACATAAAAAATTTTGAGCCACAACTTCTAGGGTGGACGAGCTGAAGCTGGAGCTGACGGTTGGGCGTCGCACCTCGGATGACAAAGACGCAGCGTGGAGGGTGTTTGAGAAGGAGGTGCTGGCGGCTTGCCCGGCTGGGATGCAGACCAGCACGTGCAGCAAGTACGGTTTCAAGCTCATTCTCTAGCTCTTGCTCGTGCGCTAGTTCTTGCACATTTTTCGCTAGCCTCTCGCCGCCTCTAATTTCGATCCGCCGCCGAGTTAGGAAAACAACTTGAAGCTGTTCGACTTGATCCTCCTTTTTCTTGACTTGCTCTTTTTACCTCTTGCTCAAAGTGGCAGCCATTTTCTCTTATTTTGCTCCTCGTCTCTTGCTCAAAGTTAAGCCGAAAAAGACCCTCGTCTAGTCGTTCAACCTGGAGCTCTCTCTCACTAACTCTCTCTCACTCTCTTTCACTCTCTCTCTCTCTCTTTCCCCAACCCCCTCTTTTCCAGGATTCCATGGTCCGAACGTCAACGTCAATACCCGATGGCCATGGTCAGCGCCGGCCCCAAACACACCGACCGCCTGGCACACAACCTATGGCAGAAGCTCGAGATTGAGAGTACGTTACCATCCACACACCTCAATGTTCAATGTTCATCTACCCATTCCAGCCAACCCCGAGGAACAGCAAAACCTGGCCGTCGCCATCATCCAGGCAAGCAAATGGGAGTGGGTCGAGCGGTAAGTACGTGGAAATCCGCTCTTACACTGTGATCCCAGACTCCTTTGGCATCACATCAACAACACGGGGCTGACCCGCTTGCAGTCGACCGGCACCTTTGCAGCGCACCTGGCGAACCGTGCCGAGGCCATCCCGTGGCTCGTCGACAATCTGGCTACGTTTTGGCAAATGTTGGTGTTGGTGGGAGTTTGGATTGATGATGTTCAGCCTCGACTACGCCCCTGACGAGCGGTCCAAGCTGTTCGAGGGGATCATCGGCGGAATCGCCAGCGACCTGGAGTTGGCACAGGTGAGAGAGAGAGAGAGAGACGGCGAAACCCCAATTTTCAGGTGGCCGCCTTGCGCCAATCCCCCGAACTCACTGAAGAACTCCGCCGCATGCCGAAGTGGGACTCGGCGATGGAGGCGTACAAGGTCGACCGGCAGTGGCGCCACAACTATGCGGTGGGTTCTAAGACCCCGATATTTCCAACGAACCTCATCTTCTTAGCTGGACATCCTCGCCAAGTTCGCCAAGCTGCCGCAAATCGAGCCCAAGGAGAACTGAGACGCCGCCCGCGCAGATGCTGATCGACTCGAGCTCGCTCGCCCCACTGACCCGAACTACAACCAATGACAGCCCCGTCCCCCCTCCCCGATCCCTTTTTGTATCCCCAATTTCTTGACTGCCCGCCCTCGCTGATCATCTCCTTCTTCACCACCCCCGCGGGATTTTTTATCCACATATTCCCCGTCGTATTTCGCTTGCCGTGGCGCTCGAATAAATATGTACACTCGAGATTCTTTGGACACAAAAGTAAAAAATAGCCGTTTCTGCCCCGAGGCCGAAGCCCTCCCGAAGCATCGCTGCTAGCCTATATAGGCTTAGGCTTTGGCCTTGGCTTTGGCTTTGGCCTGGGCTTCAGCTCAGGCTTAGGCAGTCGAATTTTCCACGTAAAATACTGTGAAACCAAAAAAAAAATATCGCAAAAAGATCTGTTTTGGAAGTTTTGGGCATTTTTGGCGCTCTTTTGACCATGTTTTCGCAATTTGCATACGGATTGTGAGTTATTTCGCCAAAAATGATTTTCCGACGCTTTTTGAAGGATAAAAATTACAACTCCCGATTTAAATGATAGATTCGTAAATCAAAAAATTACCTCCCAAGGAAGATGCCTTCCTCATCTTTGCGAAAATTTCGAGGCCTTAAGGCGCCAAAATACCATTCAAATGGTCAAAAACATCGTAAATTGGCTATACATTTTTTTTGTTGTACAATTTCCGGCTCATTGACATGTTTATTCGACTGTCAATACAGATAGATGGGATCGGGGAAGGGGGGAGGGCGAGCGAATCCGGAAATGAACGATTGCGCGAGAGGGGGGGAGGAGGAGAAGCTGAGGGCTACACACCCATACAAATGACAGCACGATGAGGTGAGGGGGAGGGCTACACGGCCATGAAAAGGACAGTCGATCAGTGTGGGTCGATTAGTGATGTCGATGAGGTGGTGGAGCGGGTGGTGATCACTGCCGGTTCGACTGGGGTAGCTTGGCGAACATCTCGAGGAGGTCGAACTGAAAATGAGGGAGATAAAAGGGAAGAGAGAGAGAGAAAGAGAGAGAGAGAGAGAGAGAGAGAGAGAGAGAAAGAAAGAGAGAGCCTAAGGTAACTCCTCACCGCATATTTCTGGCACCACTCGATCTTGAGGCGCTGTCGCTCGGCGAGGTCCTCCCAGAAAGGCAGCGGGCGCAGGTCTTCGGGCAGGTCGGGGTGCTGGCGCATCATGATCAGCTGAAGAACAAGTTGGAGCAGTTCAGCAGAGTCTGCCCACCTTGGTCAGAGCGTCACGGCCGCGAAGCTGACCCAACATGTTCTCCACCAAGGATTTGCGCTCGTCGGGTTCGTAGCTGAGCCTGGAAAGGAAGCATCACTACCTGTCTCTCTCTCGCTCTCTCGCTGCCTCTCTCTCCTACCTCTCGTGGATGGATCCAATGTTGTTGTAGAGCCATTCGAACGCCTCGGGGCGCCACCCGACCGTCTGAGCCATCCGGGAGGTACTCTGCAGTCGGGCCAGACCCGTGTTGTTGATCAAGTGGTCGAGCATGCTGAAGCAGAGTGACAGGTAATGAGCAAATCGGTTGTTGAACGTACCGCTCGGCCCACTCCCAGTTGGGGGCTACGAGGAGGGCACGGTTTAGGTAGAACTGCTCGTCGAGGTCGGCTGAAGGTAGAATAGAGGCGAGACAGAGAGAGAGAGAGAGAGAGAGAACTACTACGAGAGCGGACGCCGAACGTTAAAGAAACTCAGCGAAAATGATCACGAGATCTAGAGATTAACCTTACCCTGAACGCCTTCAAGTCGTCCCCCGCGACCCCGAAAGGCCACCCCAAAACTCACTCTCAATCTCCAGCTTCTTCCACATGAAGGCGGCAATCCGTTCGGCCTCTTGCCCGCGGGCGCTCTGGATCGCCTCCGAATACCCATTCGAGCGGTCTCCCCATCCGTACTTGCTGCACTTGCTGGTCTGCTGCTTCTCCCCCGGGCACGCGCCCATCACCTCACGCTCAAAGCGGCGCCACTGGGGCTCTTCGGCGTCGCGGAGCTGGCGGCCAAGGCTGCGCAGCCGATCGCGCTCCCATAGCCTAAACGACGAGTTGAAGGAGTTCAGGGAAATAGTATGTAACAAAACAATTTTTCTACGAGGTTTAGGCTTAGCAGTGAATGCCTGAGCGCCACCCACTTGTCGTTGAACTCCTGGATCTCGTCATGCTCGTTGAAGCGGGACCGCGACTCCGCTTTCTCCTTAGCTTTGAGCCGGAGCTGGCGGCCATTGTTGTTGCTCGACGTCTTTGCCTCGGCTTTGTTAACCAAGCGTTGGTAGTGGACGCTGGCATTCTGAAAGCACCAAAAATTCCGGAAGCCTGCGTCTGATCAAAGTTTGGAATTAAGAATTATAAGAGTTGCCAGCCCCTTTGAAGCACACTGACCCCCATGATGTCGTGGGCACGGTGGCTTGTCGAATAGTCGAGAATCCGGTCCTTGATCGTGTTGTAAGCGTCGACAAGTGCGTTGCGGGCGCCAGGAAATGGCTCCTTGTCAAGGTCGTCTAGGAAGCTGACGGCAATCTCGTACGGGACGACACCGTCCCGGGCCATGGAGAACAGGTCTTCGTAGATGTAGTGACGGGCGAGGCCGGAGAGATTCTGGAAGGGAGCGGTAGGTAGAAATAGAGAGAGAAAGAGAGAAGAGAGAGAGAGAGAGAGAGAGAGAGAGGGAGAGAGAGAGAAAGCAAGAGAACATACCGCGGCGTGAATCTTTTCGCGAACTTCGGGCCATAACTCCCCATAGTTGACCCTGGCGAAGACCAGTTGCTTGTGGTTGATGAACGGCAATTCGTTCGACTCGATGATGAGAGGGCCTAAAAAGAGATGAGCGGGAGGCTGGAGGGCCCTAGAACCTGAGTAATCGAAATTCTCCAAAATCACCCACTTCCATCCCCAGGAATGTATTGGAAGGCACCCTCCGGCTGTTCTGGATATTCGATCGGAATGCGCCAGATGCTGTAATATCGACAATAGATGATAAATGATACGGAATCTACTCATTCTCGGCTTTGCCCAGCTTGGAGTCATCGGAGAGGTAGTGGCGTTGGGTGGTGATCGCGTACTTGTTGGGTTCGCCGGGCAAGCGGGCGACGTTGATGCGGGGGTGACCAGCCTGGGCGAGGCAGCGCATGAATGAAGATAAAGAGAGAGCGAGAGAGAGAGAGGGAGAGAGAGAGAGAGACGGTGCGAGATACCTTGCGGTTGTGGTCCTCGTTCGCGTCCCTTGCCAACTGCCACCGGTCGTCCTTGATCGGGTCTTCCTCCCAGATGTCGGCCGTGACGCTAGAGCCCATTCGGTGCTTCTCGAGGTACCCCTAGATTCCATTAATGCGCTGACAACCGGCGCTGACCTTGATCATTTTGCCGAAGCGTTCCTCGCCGAGGGTGGTGAACATCGTGTAGATGCCGTAGGCGGCTTTTGGGTATACCTGTTCGCTGAACATGTCGAGGATGTCGTAGTAGGAGTATGGGACTTTCTGAAAAATTGGTATGGTTGTGGGAATGAATGAGAGCTAGAAGGGGACAGAGCGCGAGAGAGAGAGAGAGAGAGTGAGAGTCGAAGAGTTTGAGAGAGCGAGGGAGAAAACGATAGAGAGAAAGAAAACCCTCACGTTGTAGTCCCTATCCCCGGGCGCCGCCTTGCCGACGACGATCGGCTTCAACGGGGCAGTGTTGTCGCCGCGGCCCCAGACGTAGTGGAAATCTTGGATGTATGACTGGTCCTGCAGGGTGAATGGGTACAAAATACACTCAAGGAGCATCAGCCCACCGGATGTCCCCAGCCGTTGTCGTCTCTTCCAAACCTGCGCCCCATGTAGAGCTCGGTGAACGTGGCGAAACCCTCGTTCAGCCACAGATCACCCCACCACTCGGGGGTCACCAAGTCGCCGAACCACTGAAAATCGGGTTTGGGATGGTGACGGCAAAAGACGAATAGCTCGGTCTTTCTCCCTAACTCTCTCTCTCTCTCTCTCTCTCTCGCTCCTTTACCTGGTGTCCAATCTCGTGGGCCACCGTATCTTGAACGCCCTCACGACGCCCTTTGCCATGTTTCGATGGGTCGAAGATTGATGCCTGGAAAAGGTTCGTTATTTGAGGTGACAGAGAGAGAGAGAGTGAGAGAGAGAGAGAGAAATAGAAATATAGAGCATGAAGGAGCACTGGACTACATATACCCACCGACTCCCTGAACGTCATGATGCCCCAGTTTTCCATGGCACCGGCGGCAAAGTCGGGGATGGCAAAGATGTCTAAACGAGGAGTTCAAGGCGTACGGCGGCCCCATACCCAGCTTGCTCAGCGGGTAGTTGACGCCGGTGAGCTTCTCCAGCGCCGGGACGGTCATCAGCCCGGCTTCGAGGGCCGTCTCTGTGTACGGCATCAACTCCTTGCGCGCGTAGACGCCAATCTGAAAAGAAATTGTGCAGTGCGTCACGGCCGCGTCGCGTACCTTGACGCCCCGCTTGGTGAGCTCGAAGCGGGATCCGAAGTCGTGGACGATGAGGGCAATGATGTAGGTGGAGAGTGGCGGGGTTGGTTCGAAGTTTGTCCGCTGCCACTTCAGCCCATCGTGTTCCTCACTACAACAAATGACGGTTGAGAGGAAGAGAGGGTACGGTAGACGAGGCACGTGATATAAAATACACACCTAGTGGGTTGCCCAGCGATGGCTGCATTCGAAGTGGCTGTGGTGCCGACAGGGTGACGGACCGAGAAGGTCCACACAGCCTAGAAAGAGCGGAAGAGATAAAGAGAGAGACAGAGAGAGAGAGAGCGAGAGAGAGAAAGAGCGACAGAGACACGGATACCTTAAAGCGGGGCTCATCAAAGCATGGCACCATCTCGCGGGCGTTCGTCGACTCGAATTGCGTCGTGGCAATCCATTTTTTGTTTCCGGCTTCATCATAATACACCGATCGATACAGGCCGTGCATCGACTTGCTCAACATCCCGCTGTAGACGATCTGAGACTTGTAGTTTGTATTCCTATTTGAAGCCGTACCTGTATCACATGGCGTCCTGCTTCGATGTCGAATCCGTCGGAGAGGGCGACCCTGTCCAGTGTTTTGTTGGCTCGGATGGAGAGGCGACGGTGCTGAAATTTTGGTGTAGAGAGAGAGAGAGGAGAGAGATAGAGAGAGAGAGAGAGAGAGAGAGAGAGAGAGAACAAGAGAGCGAGAGAGAAAATTAAGATCTACCTGGTTGTCCGATTTTTCCTTGAGCAGCGTAGCGGCGATGAGGTCGAGTCCCTTGCTGTGGAGCTCGATGTGTTTCTGCGGTGCGTCGACGGCCAGCTGAACGGCTTGATGACGCCGGACACAGTCACATTAGGATACCCTGATCTTGACGTCGCCAAAGAAGCTGAATTCGCGCCCCGTGGGGATCGGGGTGCCGTGAGTGGGGAGGTAGACCTGGATGGAGGAGTGAAATGAAGCCAATTTTCAAGTCACCCACGTGCAAATTGACATCATAGTGCGTGGGACGGTAGTCTTCGGTGGGAATCTGCCAGGTATGGATTCTAAACGGTGGGTCGGGTTACGGTAGGCGTGAAAGTGGTTACGGTAGAATGGAGGAGTCGGGGTCGTTGCCGCCGATGTGGATCGATCCCTCGCCAAACTCCTTCCACACCTTCTCTTGTCTCGCCTTCGTATCCGATGTCAACCTGAAGTCAGGTATGTGACACTACAAAATACTCCTGTACGTCGTAGTACGCTATAGGCATGTTAAAGACTGTAGTTTTCGGTACAGTACACATTACACTACAGTACGCGACATTACGGAAGGGAACTTATTACGGTGCCACACGGAATGTGACAGTACGGTAGAGTACCAAGTAGTAATACGGTACCGCATGATGCACTACGAGACTACGGTAAGTTATGATCGAGTACGGTACCGTAAAGTACGCTAAAGTACGGGTGAGCACGGTTCCGTTGGTACGCCGACGAACCTGTACTTTGTGTAGAACAAATTCGGTTCCACGGCAAGCAGGAAGAATGTGGCGATCAGCACTGGAATGCCGGATTTGAAAGAGCGAGAGACACAGAGAGAGAGACAGAGAAGAGAGAAAGGGAGAGAATAAGCAGACAGCAGCTAAAAATCTTTAAAACCCCCTACGCAAGGCCAGGATGCAGCACGCGACGCTGAAGACGACCATCGAGCAAACGGGCGTCCGCTCGTGCTTCACCACGGGCATCTTGCGCGGACGGCGGGCCCGCGACCTCGACTTGGACGAGCGACGCGACTTCGAAGACCTCGAGCGACGGGCCTAGAGGATGATCATCAACTTTTAAGAAGCGCCCGACACACCGAAGTCGATCGCGAAGACGAGCGGCGCGTCGAACGGCTTGAGCGGGACCCGCGGGAAGATCGAGAGGAGCGGGAGCCGCGGCGGGCCGACTTGGAGACGGGCTGGAAATAGGCGGTAAGTTATGGTACTTCATCCCTAAAATGCTCAACGACGGGGAGTTGCACAGAAGCTCCCCAAATGGTCGCTGCCCGCCTGCCCATACCGGACTGTCATCCCCGGTAGTCGTCGTCGTCGTCTTGTCGCTGCTGGTGAAGAAGCCGGCCGGCTTCTTCAGTTTGGGCCACTTTGCCGGCTAAAAATTAGCATCAGAAAATTAGCATAGCCGAAAGGGTACCATCAGAAGCTGGGGCGGCGGTTGAACCGATTTGCGGGGAACTGTCAACCGAAATGGTTTTTCGACGCGGAGATGTGGTAAGTGGAAGTCGGATGCAAATTGGTATCTATCTATTTCTTGTTCTGCCTTACTGGATATCTGGCTTTGTCTATCTCACACTCCGCACGACGTCACCAAGGCGTTCAGTCGAGGTTTAACGCGTTTCTCTAGTACTTTCCACCTCTATATCGATGTATACAACCCCTCTCTGTCTCTCTCTCTCGCTTTCTCCCTCCCTCCCCCCTCTACCCCTTTCTTTTTCTTTTTCCTTATGATTTTCTCTCTCTCACTCTCTCGCTCTCTCTCTTGTCACTCCTTTCTCTATGTGTAAGTCTGCGGCGACGTCTTGAAGAAGTTCAGTTGTTTTCTGCGTATCTCTCCGATCTGCACACCAAATTTATTCGCATTGCACATCGGCATCACAGAGATGGGGAATTCTGGGTGGCATCTCGATATCACGGGGGGATACAGAAAATCGGGTGGGGCGGGGAGCAGCAACTACTCATTGCTGGGGGGATGGGACACGGGAGTGGAGATCGTTTCGAGTATCCAGTTGTAGATGGAGTTGGTGATCAGGGGTTTTCACTCGGCGTCATTCTTGTCAAGGTCAACGTCAACGTCAACGGTCCACGGCTCCTGATCAGCAGCTACTACTGGGAGCAGCGGCTCGGTGTCGGGCTTGTTCAGCGCCCTATCGTCGTCGTCCGACCCCAGCACCTTGGCGAGGATGCGCTCAAAGTGGCTGAGCAGGTCGTGCTGAAAATAGTGAGATGAGAGTGAGAGTGAGAGAGAGTGAAAGAGAGGGAGGGTGTGGGATTGTGGGGAGCGAGAGAGAGAGAGCGAGAGAGAGAGAGAGAGAGAGAGAGAGAAGATAGAACCAAACGCACCGCATACAACAAGCGCCACCGCCGATTCAGCCGATGCGTCTCGAAGGCCGTATCCCATGAGGGCAACTCGCGCAAATCCTCCGGCAGATCGGGCCTGGCGCGCAGCAAGCGGGCCTGAAATTGAGGTGTAAGTGGGCGGAGCGTTGCGTAGCGCCCACCTCGGCCAATCGCTCGTCGTCGTTGACGGCCCCGAGGAGGTTTTCAAACAGTTCTTTTCGCTCGTCGGGTGCGTAGGACAGCCTGTAGAAGGGATATAAAGGTATACAAATGGCACCGCAGTCGGGGTCAAATTGTCGCCCGAAAAACTAACGTCTCCCAAAAGCTGTTGACATTTTCGGTGAGATACTGGATGGCGTGGTTAGGCTCCAAGATAGCCCGCACAAACGCGAACATCGTGGTCGATTGAAGGCGGGTGAGGCCGTCATTGGCAATGTGGCGGGAGAAGAGCCTATATTGGGTGGAGGTTTACAGGCGCAAAGAAGCCTCGTTCACGTGGATTGCCGCATATTTTTTGTAAAAATAGGTCTGAAAACACACTCTTCGACGAGCGTCTCGTTGTCGCAGGCCGCAACACCAGCTGCGAGGGCCTCTTGCTCAGCAGGTTCGGCTGAAATATAGCAAGGAATAACGCGGAAGGGATATATCTCTCTGCCTATCTCTAGCTCTCTCTCTCTCTCTCTCCCTTTCGCACTTGCTCTCTCCTTCTCTCTCTCGATATCTCTCTCTCTCCCTCTCTCCCTCTCCCTTCCCTCTTCCCTCCTCACTACTCACTCTCAATCTGCAGCTTCTCCCACATATGGGCACAAATCAGGGCCTGCTCCGGATCGTCCGACTTGCTCACGGCCCAGACATAGTTCAGCCAACGCAGCACCGGTGACTGCCTGAAAGGATCTGCACTCCCCCGACAAAACCCGGCAACGTACTTGCTGCACTTGCTGGTGCGCTCTCCGGCCGCACAGACGTTCATCGTCTGTTCCATGTAGGCGAGCGCTTCCGGGGGCACCGCCCCACTGTTCTGCTCCCATTTCGCGGATTCGAGCCTGAAGGGAGGAGCGTTAACATATATAGGCCCCCCCCGATAATGTTAAAGCACCGCGAGGGTTGGAGCATAAAGATGAACTACTTACAGGGCACCCATTTCAGCAGCCCGGCTCTTGCTGCTGACCTTGGCGACGTCGTCGGCAATTTTCAGGCTGAAAAGTCGCTTTCAAAGAGCAGAAAATGCGGGAAGCCTACCGCCTCTCCGATGGGTTGTAGATGGTGGCGATCATGCCAAGGGCGTCCATCGTGGTTTGGGTTGGGATATGGGCGGTGATCTGTAGGCGCACTTGGCTAAACTCGAACAGCAACGCCTGCTGGGCCTCACTGAAGGGCTCCTGAAGGCGGAGGTAAGAGGGAAGAGAGAGAGAGAGAGAGAGAGAGAGAGAGAGAGAGAGAGAGAGAGATACAATAAGTGACACCTTATGAATATCATTCAGGAAATCGAGCGGTACTGTGTATGGGATGACGCCGTCGCGCGCCAACGCGAACGCGTCCTGGTAGATGAACGTGCGTGTGAGCCCGCTCAGACCCTGGGAATGCCATGTCAGATAGAAATCCAGAGTAACAAACCGATTTGTGCAGCTTCTTCCGAACTTCGGGCCACAGCCGCCCGTAGTTGACCCTGGCGAAGACGAGCTGTTCATGATTGATGAAAGGGAACTCGTTGGACTCGATGATGAGCGGGCCTGAAGCAGGTAAGAGAGAAAGTGGGAAAGAGATAGAGAGAGAGAGAGAGAGAGAGAGCGAGAGAGAGAGAGAGAGGAGAGAGAGACCCACTTCCGTCAGCCGGCATGAATTGAAGCTGCTTCTGTCCGGGATACTGGATCGGGATGCTCCAAGTGCTAAACGACAAGGCCGCGATCTGCAAAAAGTAGAAGTGCATCCTACTCGTTGACGCGGTCGCCCAGCTTGAAGTCGCCGGAAAGGCAATGGCGTTCTGTGGTGATGGCGTAGCGTTTTCCTTCCAGGCGCTCCACGTTGATGCGCGGGTAACCGGGCTGAAAAGGATTGGGTAGAAGGGGGGGGGGGGGGGCGAGAGAGAGAGGTGGGGGGGAGGGCGGGGGAGAGAGACAGCGAGAGAGAGAGAGAGAGAGAGAGAGAAAGAGAGGGAGAGAGAGAGAGAGAGAGAGAGAGAGGAGAGACCGCCTCACATTCAGAAGATGATCCTTGTTCGCTTGCACGGCCAGCTTCCACAGCTCGTCCTTTTGGTCATCTTCATCCCAAATGTCCGGCCAAGCCGTATTCGAGTGCGTATGTTTCAGCAAATACGCCTAAATTCACCTTCCCTCTAGCGCGCTGGCGAATTCACCTTGATCATCTTGGTGAAGCGCTCCTCGCCGAGGGTGGTGAACAACGTGTAGATGCCGTAGGCCGCCTTTTCGTACGTCAGCTTGCCGAACATGTCGCGGATGGCGTAGTAGGAGTGGGGCTCGCGCTGAAAAAGTGTACGCTTGCAACATGTGACGGGGCGGGTTCGTTGACCTCCCGATAACGCAAAAGAACCTCACATTGTAATCGGCATCGCCGCGTCGGGCCTTCCCGACAACGATCGGTTTCAGCGGCATGATATCGTCCTCGTCCATCGCCTTGCGGTAGTGCGACAAGAATACGGCGTCCTGAACGCGTTTGGTGAGGGACGCTATCGTGGTTTCCGCAAAAATACTCTTGCCGTGCTCGCTACCGTACTTGATGTCCCCAGCCGTCAGTTGGCCTTCCAAACTTGCGCCCGACGATGAGTTCGGAGAACTTGGCGAAACCCTCGTTCAGCCACAGATCGCCCCACCATTCCGGGGTCACCAGGTCGCCGAACCACTGGAAAAAGAAGAAGGAATGGAATTAGCCGGTTCTCTCGCTCTCTCTCTCTCTCTCTCTCTCTTTATCTCTCTTTCGCTCTCTCGCCCTTACCTGATGACCAATCTCATGCGCCACCGTATCCTCAACCTCTATCCTTCTGCTGGAACCATGTTGGACCGGGTCATCGAGCACCATCTGGAATAGGGTACGGCACATTCTGCTGGTGACTAGCCGCTGCTTACCGTTTCCCTGAACGTCATGATGCCCCAATTCTCCATGGCGCCGGCAGCAAAGTCGGGGATGGCAAAGATATCTGAACGAGGAGTTCAAGGCGGGCAGTAGAGAGGAGAACTTTATCAACTATAATAATTTTGCTGTGGTGTCCGTCATCTGTCTGTCTGTCTGAAGCCAACTATAACTCGAAGGGAAAGGAGCTAGAGCTTAGGTCTCTTCGGATTCGGATAGAGCGTGGTCAGAAACCCCATAAATGATCAAAACATTATGAAAAAGTTTTTGTTTAAATAAAAATAATTAGCTTTGGAAAGTGGCCCTTAATAAAACGAGGGGGCCCTCTCCCCGGCAGGCCACGCCCCCTTTCTCTTCGCCCCTCTTCACCAAGGCCCTTCCGCGCCCAGATGCCTTTTTGAGTTACTTAATACTTTTAATATGTTTTAATTATGTTAATTCGTTATTTGAATCATTTAAAGTGTCGGGATGGAATCTAAGTAGTTTTTTAAGGGGTTTCGTCTCTGGCGGGTATCTGAAGCCATCGGGAAGGTTATTTTGGTGTTTTAAGGAGATTTCGGCTATGGGGGTATCTAAAGCCATCGTGGGGGTATTTTGGTAGTTTTTTAAGGGATTTCTGGGGTTGTATCTGAAGCCATCGGGAAGGTATTTTGTCGTTTTAAGGGATTTCGGCTATGGGGTATCTGAAGCCATCGGGAAGGTATTTCTGTAGTTTTTTAAGGAGATTTCGGCTATGGGGGTATCTGAAGCCATTGGAAGGTATTTTGGTAGTTTTTTTAAGGATTTCGGCTATGGGGGTATCGGAAGCCATCAGGAAGGTATCGAAGTCGTTTTTTAAGGATTTCGGCTATGGGGCATCTGAGCCACCAGGAAGGTAGCGAAGTGGTTTTTAAGGAATTTTGGTTATGGGGGAGGTACCTAAGTTATTGAAGCTGTTTTAAGGGGGTTTCATACATGGGGAGGTATCTGAAGCGATGAGGAAGACATCTAAGTAGTTAAGGTATGAAAGTAGTCAGTCAGGTAGTTTATGGTAGTTAGTATGGGTAGGTAGTTTAACTTTTTGCCGGGGGTTGGCTAGAGAAGGTTCTGAAGGTGGACGTGGGTATTGATTAAGGTAGAGGTGTAGGGTGGTGGCGTAAAACATGGAGGGTAGCCCGAAGGCCAGCCGATTACAGTCGCGAAGCGGCTGTAATCGGCTGGTAGTCGCAATATATCGATCGATACCTAGCTTCTTCAGGGGGTACGGAACCCCGGTGACGCGCTCCAGCTCGGGCACGGCGATTAGAGCGGCGTTGAGGGCCGTCTTCGTCTGGTTCATCATCTCTTTGCGGGCATAGACACCGATCTGGAAGGCGGGGAGAGATTAAAAATGGTAAGCTACCTAGATACCTGGATACCTAAAAAAGCACGCTACTGATACCTTGATGTTCCGGTCGTTGACCGTCGCACTATCGTATCCAAAATCGTGGACGATGAGGGCAATGATGTAGGTGGAGAGTGGCGGGGTCGGTTCGAAGTTTGTCCGCTCCCACTTCAACCCATCGTGTTCCTCACTACAACAAATGACGGTTGAGAGGGAGAGAGGGTACGGTAGACGGGGCACGGGATAGAAAATACACACCTAGCGGGTTGCCCAACGATGGCTGCATTCGAAGTGGCTGTGGTGCCGACAGGGTGACGGACCGAGAATGTCCAAGCAGCCTGGAGAGAACGATAGAATGGGAGAGATAGTGAGGGAGAGAGAGTGAGAGAAAGAGAGAGAGAGAGAGGGAGACAGAGAGACGGATACCTTGAATCGTGGCTCATCAAAGCATGGCACCATCTCTCGGGCGTTCGTCGACTCGAATTGTGTCGTGGCAATCCATTTCTTGTTTCCGTCTTCATCATAATACACCGATCGATACAGTCCGTGCATCGAGCGGCTCAACGTCCCGCTGTAGACGATCTAAAGTGCGGACGACGGTGTAAAGTGGAGTGTCTCGTAGGCCACCTGGATGATGTGTTTTCCGGGCTTGATGTCGGGTTTTCCATCGGAGAGGGAGATTCGCTCCAGGGTTTCGTTGGCACCGATGCTCAGGCGACGACGCTGAAAGGGGGATAGAGGGATTGAGAGAGAGAGCGAGAGAGAGAGAGAGAAAGAGAGAGAGAGAGATAGCGCGATCCCTACCTTCTTCTCATCCCCTCCCTCAAATATCGTAGCCGCAATCAGATCGAGCCCCTTGCTGTGCATCTCGATGCTGCGCTGTGCCGAGCTGACGCTTACCTAAATACCGTACCCTCATACACTGCTGGACATAATTTTGGGTTCACCCAAAGTCTTCGGCTTTTCTCGCACAGCGATGGGGCTCGCGCCGCCCGCTTTGAGCATAGGGATTTGCCAAGTATATTCTTATCCGGGCTTCAAAGGAAAACCGCGAAGAATTTTTAGTTTTTGTTTAAATGGCTTTTTTGTAAAATTACCATTTTGGCAAGTGGTCATAATTTTGGGTTCACCCACCCAAATCTGCCAAAAAAATCTTAAAAACGCAAATTGATTTAGGGAATGAGTTAATTGGTTAACAATAAGCATAATTGAATGCCTGAACGCTTGAAGACCCCGCTTCACGATGTGGAGGATCGGGTTATCGGCAAGCTTCTGATCGCCGGAGCCTCGGCTCTCGAATAACGCATTCTTTAGCGACTGGACTTCTCGGTTGCAGTGATTATTGATGGAAAACCATGTCACCAGGTAGCCTTAACAGATTTTTCATTAATGCGTGCCTGAGAATTAGCTGACAGCTCAAAAAGTGAAACTCCGGGCATTGCAACCATAACCATGGGCGTTTGCTGACCGAAATCCAAATCTGAAGCTCCTGGAAAATGACGTTCTGCACCGGATTCTGCCGGAACAATAACGGACGGAAGCCTTCCAAGGCCTACTCGTACAGATTCGGTTTCAACTTCTTGAGCATGAGCTTAAAGCTGACGCTTTGGGCCGAGATTTCGTGACTCAGTCCGGCGCCGCTCATTTCGTGGATTTTCGTGGATAAAAAGTTATTGTGATGAGTCTGATGGTGCACCGTTTGGCTGAGATGATCACAGCACAGCAAAATGTGGCGGTGTCCCAACTAAATTCTGAAGGATGAGGCGTGGCGGACTGTGCTAGGAGTCCAGTTTTCTCGCCGCGCAGTTTTAAGTTCATGCTCAAGAAGCTGGAGCCGAATCTTTACGCGTAGGCCTTGGAAGGCTTCCGCCCGCCATTATTCCGGCTGAATCCGGTCCAGAACCGCATTTTCCAGGAATTGAACGCGCGGATTCCGGTCAACAAACGGCCAAGTTTGCAGTACCAAAGTCTTGGAATTTAATTTTTTGAGCTGTCGGCCAATTCTCAGGTACGCATTGAGGAAAAAACTGTTACAGCTACCTGATGACGTCGTTTTGCATCCATAATCGCCGCTACCAAAAAGTCCAGTCGCTAAAGAATGCGTTAATCAATACCTGAGACCCCGGCGATCTAAAGCGTACCGATAGCCTAATCCTGGGCATGGAGGAGGTGGATTTTAAGTGTTCAGACATTGAGTTTCACGTACTTTTTCCCAAAGTTGGCCCAACAATAACACACATCGCGTTTTACGGGATTTTTAGCGGCTTTCCCAGGGTGAACCCAAAATTATGACCACTTGCCAAAATCGTAATTTTACAAAAACCATTTAAACAAAAACTAAGAATTTTTTGGCGGTTTTCCTTTGAAGCCCTGATAAGAATATACTCGGCAAACCCTATACTCAAAGCGCGCGGCGAGAGCCCGATTGCTGTGCGAGAAAAGCCGAAAACTTTGGGTGAACCCAAAATTATGTCCAGCAGTGTAGGTCATTCCCTCCAGGACAGAACTACCGTAATCTTGACGACGCCGATGAATGTGAATTCACGATCTTTGGGAATTTCGGTGCCATAGCCGGGGAGGTAGACCTGTAAAGAGGAATAGTGGCTGACCACAAAAACAAACTTTTTCTTTAGTACCTTTTTCTAATCTAAGAAAAAGATTTTAAATGTTAGAGAAAAAATCCGCTCCGCCCCTCCCCCCGATAATGCCTAAGCGCCCTTTCAATGCGTATCCTTACGTGTAAATCCACGTGGTAATGTTCGGGGCGATAGGCGAGGGTGGGGATCTGCCAGGTGTGGGCCCTGAAGAGGGAGGGGATGAGCCTACGGTAGAGGTCTTACGGTAGCTGGGTGAATCCGGGGTCATTTCCGCCGATCTGCGCGGGGACGGGCCCGAATTCCCGGTGGATACGGTGCTGACGGGCTTTGGTGTCTTCGTCAAGTCTGAATCGAGAGATATCGTGATTTTAAAGGGACTTGGAAGTGGTGGATATCGGACTTGTAATATAGGCCGGTTGGGAAAACTTACTGTCTCATGATATCGTCCGTTTGGAAGGCCAAGTAGAAGCCGATGGCGATGGCTACTGAAGAGATGAGAGAATTAGACAGAGTAGAGAGCGAGAGAATCAAAGAAGCGAGAGGCATGGAGACAGAGAGAAAGAGAGAGAGATAGAGAGAGAGGGAGAGAGAGCTAGAAAGAGAGAGCGAGATAAAGAGAGAGAGAGAGAGAGAGAGAGAGAGTGAGCAAAGCGAAAGAGAAGACCCAAAACCGCACCAATGGCTAGGATGACGAGAAAGGCGCAAGCCATCAGGCAGCACGCATTCCGGCGGCCGGTGTTTTGCTGCTGCGGCGGGCGGACCTTCCTTTTGGCAGTCTTCGGCTCGCGGATCTTCAGTAAAGTTACGTACTATCTACCATTATTCCACTACCGATTCCGAGGACGAGGACGCCGAGTCGGAGCGCCGGCTGGACGGGTCGATGTTGATGACACGGTGCTCGGATTTGGAGGCACGCTAAAGGAGAGGTAACTGAGATTGGGCCTAAGCTTAATCCTAATCCTAAGGCCAAACCAGCTTCTTTCTACCTTGCTCGACTCATCATCCGTCTTCTCGCTGTTCAGCGTCCCGCTACCGTCGCGGCGCTCTGGCCTCAGTTTTGGCTGAAAGGCCGTGATTTTCAAGTTTCGCCGGAAAAATTTGAACTGAATTGAAAAGCTACCATAATCCCTGACGGAGCAGGCCGGTGGTCCGGGTGAATTGGGTGGATAATCCATTTTTCGAATTTTCGAACCGGGATGGTAGCCCGTACTCAAATAGAAGTATTCAAATTATAGTTTTTGGTTCAAAGTTGGGAAGCCCAGAGAGAGGGAGAGAGAGAGAGCGAGAGAGAGAGAGAGAGAGAGTGATAGAGAGAATATGAGAGACCAGAGAGAGGGAGAGAGAGCGGGAGAGAGAGAAAGCGATAGAAAGATAGAGAGAAAGAACCAGTATCTTCTAAAAAAATATTATTGTATTTTTTACCTTATTTCTCTCTTCGCGCCCCTTTGTATCTTCTAGTAGCACTAGGTGTATCTCAGTTTTGGTGTCTCCCCACTTCCAACAGCTTCCTGCCTCGGCTCCTCCGGGCGATCGCGGAGAGATATAGCCGATCGCCTTTAGGGCGAACTGGTAGAGGAGGGCAGGCGGTGTGGGCCGGTGGCTTTTGTTATGTGTTGCAATGTGGCCATGCGAGCCATTGTCTGATGTGGTCATTTCATCTCCCCCTCATCTCCCCCTTCCAGGCATGGATACCAGTCCATTAGACTCCTCCGAACACCCTCCCCCCGGGGGGGGGGGTCCCTAGAGGGGGAGCTGTCAACAATCTTCGCCGAATCGAGTAGCATTCTCTAAACGGCTTCCCATCCAAATCTCTCTTTCTCTCTCTCTCTCTCACTCACTCACTCACTCTTTCTTTCTCTATCTCGTTCCCTAACTCTCTCTCACTTTCAATGAATCGGCTGCCAACTCCTTCAACCCGTCCGTCACACAACAACTGACACCCACCCCGCCCCGGATCCAATCTGGTCTGGATTTTACTGACTGACTACAGTATCCCAGCGGAATTAGGTGCGTAGCGTAGCGTTTTAGTTTCTTTTTACTTATCGAGCCCGATACGAAATATTAACGATATGCCAAATTTTACCAGATTTAAGCTCGTACTTGACTTTGAGCTTACCAAACTGGCTTAAGTCCAGACTTGGCTCTAATTTTTCGATGTCGAGCTTAGCTTATAACGAAGCCTAGCTTAGCTTAGGTTTAGCTTGGGCTTAACTTGACCAAAGCCCCATTTAGCTTCGGTTTTACGAATGAAAAGTGAAGAAACGTAGTTTGGCGCATTTTGTCGTTCAACCCCGAAGCTTTTTTCTATTTTTTTTTTGCCTGTTTACAGTATCTTTCCGGACGTAGTTGTGTGTTGTTGCTTTTTCGATACTTTACCTGTATTAACTAAACCTTCCGGTCTTTTTCAAGGTCTGCTCATTCACTTCCCAATCCCTTTAATATCCATTTAAAGAAAACGGATCCCCCAGGGTTGTGAATTCCCTTACTTACAGCTGCTAGTTGGCCGGCCGATTGTTGTGAGACAGGTCTCTCACTCCCTTCTGTCTCTCGCTCTCTCTCGCTCTCTCTCTCATCCTCGTTTTCCACCCTCAATTACTGTCCAAGCGGGGGCTCGTTGCGGAATGCGTCTCTTTTATCCCCCTCCAGCCATCCAACGGCGCGCGAAAAAGGCAATGCCAAGTAACGGCCTTCCCAACTTTCTTTCGACCAAAAATCCACTTCGTGGACTCTGTGCTTTGGCTGGTAGATGAATAGCTTTGGCCGGTAGATGAGGCACGTATTTCCGGGAGATTCGGCTTTTAAAGACGTTGAACTCTCTGTGTCTCTCCCTCCTTCTCTAACACTCGTTCTCTCTCTCTCTCTCTCTCTCTCTCCTTAATCTGAAGGCTATCATATTTAGAAGTTCGAAGCCCTATTCAGCAGCCAAATACCGATGTGGATTTTGCTGCTGCTTCCGGGCTTCGGCCTGGGCGCCGCTCCACCTGATCGGGTAGAATTCGATTAGACGACCATCTACCGTACACCCCTTCAGAGAAATCTCGGCAATGAGCTTCCCCTGTTCCAACGTCCGCCGCCTGTTTTATACAATCGGCCGTATCCTCCTTTGATCGGAGGGCAACTTTTGGAGAAGTGCGTTTTGAGAGAGAGAGAGAGAGAGAGAGAGCGTGAGAGAGTGAGAGAGAGAGAAAGGTACGGATCTCATGATTCTTAAGGTACGATCAGCTGAGCCGTGGCTGGAAGCCAAGGGAGAAGAAACTGCTGGATGGCTCT